CGCTCCGAAAGGACCCGCGAAAAATCGGCAATTACTCTAAATAATTCGAGGTGAAAATTCCGACGCCTCGACAATTTTCTTTTGGCCGGGTAATTCGCAACTGAACAATGTTATTTGAATAAACCATCCAGATCAAATTTTTTCTTGTATGTCAAACGATAAAAGGGTTTGCACGTTCGTTCTACCCACATCTGATAACTCGAAAGCAGTCAAAAAAAACTCTAAAGGTTGGAAAACAAAAAATTGGAAACACACAACAAAACCATTATATGTATGTATACCTATATGAAGACAAAATTGACTCCCTCTGGAGTTCCAACGGTTAGAAAAGGGTCGATATAATACACAGCGAAATTCGACTGGTTTTCCCTTTTGTCCGCGCGATTTGGGGGTTGGAACAATGTCCAGAGAACAATGACTTTGTCCTAACCAGTATCCAGTCGACATCAATTAGGTATATCTAATTCATGCCAGACAGAATATAATTCAATTAGTTACATGCAGATCGAATCGACCGTAAGGGCCCGTTTTGAACTAATTAAATTCCCCAATCACGTGGAAATTTCACCGACAATATCGGCCCGATTTATTAATCGGATTTGCAACACTAAAAACCGTTTTATTACTTTGGATGATACAGTTAAAACAGTATAATACCGATATAGATAAAATCCCCGAATAAAGGGTAGTAATTTTTATTTTTGAACGATCGTAAAAATTTTATTATCTCGATATATGCATGCAGGCTCTCGTGAAGGCGAACAACCGCCCGATTAATCTACAGGATGAGGATAACACAAGTTTTATTCCTTGTCATATACAAGATAATTAAAATGCAAATTAATTATTCTGATCTACAATGCCACTATTCAGATTAAATCATCGATAAAAAGTAATACTTTCATTAACAATAAGGTACAGAAAAAATGCTCTATCTTTTAATTACAATTTAAATTAATTACCTAATTTAGGTAAGAGCCAACCTTGATGCTCCTCTCGCACAAATTCGAAGACCTTATGGCGTATCTTTGTGAGTCAGGGTCGAAGGGACACTTTCGCTTCGAGCGAAAAATTTTTAGGGCGTAAAAATCGGGGCCTAAGCCCTCGACGGCCCCTGTGGGGGGGCATAAAAATAAAAACGTAGGTTACCGAGACGCAAAAAACACGAAATCTAACAGGGGTTTTACTGTCGTCTGCGAAAACAAGTGGTCGAGAGAGGGAGGTCAATCCGAGATTGTCTGATTTTGATTTTATTGTCCAATAAATCGCAATTAAAAACAACCTACTGGAAAGTTCTGGAAAAACCAGTTGGTTTGGTAACAAAAGTTTTATGCATTACTCTTCGAAGCGGACGGGCTCGCCGAATTGATTTAAACGAATTGAAAGCATTCCATAAATGCGTTGAACTGCTTCGAAGGCAAGTACAAGGCCATCGCAGCTCGAATCGATTCCAGCCGAAAGGATGCTGTATTTCTAATGAAATTTGGACTCTAAATAATGTCGGAATGAAATGCAGCAGTAGAGCATTTATTGAACCCGAGAGCGAGATGTTTCAATGTCGCCGGAGCCATTGTTATCGACCTTATTACTTCGGCTGGATCATGCCAAAAACTTTCGAGCGATTTTTTTTTATTTTACGGATTTTCGTAAATGGATAAAAAAAGTCGCCCGGTTGCACATACTTTAATCAAAACTCGGAGGGTAGCCGATTTTTTTTATGATGTTGAGAAGTCTCCGGCTGAACAGCCCCGTTATAGAAAAGGCCCGACATTTTTATTAATACAAAAAAAAAGTCCAGATCGCCAAATTTAAGGGAATCGGAATTTACAACGAATTTGCTGGTACTGGCTAATCCTCGGCAGGCATTCCTGCAGTTGTACTCACAGTCATTTATAATTTCTCGGATTGGTCGCGTTAGAAGAAAACGTACGGATAAATATGACGCTTTAACGAGTTAAGCACGTCTGGAAGAGGGATTCCGGTTGTTCCAAGATTCCGGGGATTTCACTACATCATACCGACTCGTTGTCGTTTTGTAAATAAAACGAGCCCTCGCCGGCATTTGCATCCCCGAGCGCAGCGAATGCCGGGTTGCTTTTTCTCGTTTTTTACCGGAAAACTTTCCTAGCATATTCTCTGATAAATATTTATTGTAAAATGCAGTGTTGCAACATTGTCTACATACAGAGTGTCGCAAAAATGTTACTGCACTTGCAACTTCTTGAGATTAAATGATCTTGTTTTCGTCTCAGAAGTCTATAATTATGCCATATCCCAACATTTTTTGCGACACCCTGCATACACTATCCTAATATCGAGCTTGCTGTGTGAGATCTTTGACTTACTTCTCTTAGTAATCTGTAATGAATTCGCTCTTCCACCGATTGTTATCTATCGTTTATACTCCCGAGCTAGACGTCTACATACCTGCAACAAAAAGGTCAAAAAGTTCGGATTTTTTTCCGTCCTGTTTCGGCTTTCTTTGCGCCGTTAATTTCCACGAAATTAAACGAAAACCCCCTAAAGTCCGATTCGGTCTCCATTAAGCAGTTGTCCGTGTCAATGCTAATGGAGGTGGATATTGAGTGCGCTGATCCTCGGGGACGAGCGCCGAGGTCGATTCTGTTCGCCCGGCGATAAGACCGATTGGTATACGAAACAACCGTTTACGGTGGTTTGCGGTTGCTAAACGAACCACCCACCACCCTCGAAACCGCCCGTTTGATTTAAATTTAACGGCGAGCGCCTTTTCTTCTCTTGTGTTTATGAGTTTCTTAACACTGCAATTCCGAGCGGTGTAGCTAGATGATTGTCTATTTGTTATTGTATCATCTCTTACTGCGCTTTTGTCTGATTATTTCTGTGATATCGCGAATAAGAAATTTTATAGATTGAGTCTATAAAAAACTTTACAAATGCTATTAATATTCCTGACCTTACTACGCGCGTTTAGCCATTAAAAGTTGAAACAATTTTCTCTCATTCATCATTCAGGAGAGTTTAGCGGTTTTTTTCGTGCTTCTCCTAGACATTAAAAAGTTTTTCGCCGAGAAAACGAGAAGACGTCGCCGGAATTTATTATATATTTTATAACTGTTCGACTTACGACCTAATTTTACGGCCCGATGTCGATCGGTAATGTGTCAAGTACGCCAACGTCAATTCCACAGCCGGCCGGAATCCCGAAAAACTGCATTTGAATCGTCTTGAGAGCGGCTTTTTCGAGTGTAATAAACGACAGAGCTGACCTCAAATTTGACAAATCACCGCAAGCTCAGCCGCACGCTTCCTTAACCGACTTTCCGAACTTTCGATTTTCCGGGCAACAATCAATCTTTTCCCATCCAGTATAATGCGGTGTCTCGTATCGCCGGAATTCCCTCCGCAGTTTAAAACAAACTTCGCCCTATTAATACAATTTTAACGCTCATCAAATGCTCCGCAATATTTGACCTGCTATTGTACAGAGATATTCGGAGTGTTCCTAATTACGAAGCAATTTTCCCGGCCCGTGGAAATACGTATTCAATTTTCCGACGCACAGCAACGAAATAAATTATTTTCGAGCCTGCCATCAGTCCTGCGGGACGTTTCGCGAGCGGGGAAACGGGGCCGGAAAGCTCCTCCGAGTTTTCCGCATAGTAAAAACGACGGCGCAGCCGCCGCGACCCGTCTCCGAATGCTGACCTAGATCGAACTGTATACACTTCCTCGAGCAGGTATACACACTTGCGAATAATTAACCGGCACGTTACGGATTCGAGAAGGTTTTATTTAATTTCCCCGGGATGTAAGGAGATGTACCGGAGGAGCGCGAAGTACGGCAACGCCGCTTTTCAGGTTTTTCTGGTTTGTTTTCGCGGATTAGGGTCGTGCTGGGAGACGATCTCCGGCGCTTTTCCGGTAAGATTGTCGTGCGGTTTTGCAGTAAGGAAAAATGCGGAAAAACGGTGAAAACTGCGGTTTTCGTAAGTTGTGAGTTATCTCTCGGTGGAATAGCGGGTTGATGACCCGCGGTGGGCGAAGGGTTTTAATCGCAAACCCGCTGGCCCGGAAGTTATAATGCCCTTTTGAGGAAACTCGGCCGGAAATGTCGGAAAAGTTGTGCTTTTTTTCCTGGAGGAATAGGCGAATTTTCCGCGCACGTATCTATCAATAGATTGGTTTTTATAACACACACAATACCCATCATAACTAACTAATAAAATATGTTATATAGATCATCATGTATTATATTATTCAGTTTGTAAACTAAACTCTCATCAACAGCCTATATATCCCGGGGAACGTGCCGAAAAGGAAAAATCATTCAGTCGGCTTTATCAAAAGGCCTTGGGCTTTTCAATGATAGGGATTCATCCTTGATTTCGGGGCGACATGCCGTCTGGGCTCTAACGAAAAGGGGTCCCGTTCTCATTTCTTATTCATGCTCCGCTACCCGACATCCTGGGGACAATTAGGCCCGAATTTCGGCTTTCTATCTGCGCGATTTCGGAAAAGCGGCCTCGAAGGAAAATCGGCCGAGTCGAATCGGAAAGATTAGACATTTCAATGGGGGCACGTTTTCCATTCTTTTCCGGGTTATTGTTTGACGCGACTCTTGTCATGCAAACGACGGAATTTTAATCAAACGCTCCTCCAGATTTGACCTTCTTTTTCCCCAGTCACCCAGTCACCTATATTCCGACAATTCGAATCGCTAAATAAATAACAAAACTCACGAGGTGCTAAATCCGGCGGGTTTCGCGTAAGCAAACTCTTCTCGTTTATTCCGTCGCAAAAAATTCATCCTTGGATGTTGTTTGTTATCGAATAAATCGGGATTTTTAGTTTCCTTCGACTGGTTCTGTTTATTTTTAGTTTTTTTCTTAGCCCCCGAATCACTCCAAAAAATCTTCCCCTATATAGGTCAATGTCGGATCCGGATGATATATGGAAATGGTTAATCGAAAACCCATTTCGCACAAACGTCGAATTAAAACCCTATTTTTCTATTACAGCGTGGGTGCTGGGCTGGTGGATGTGCAAAACAGTACCGTACATACAGGGTGTCTCCGTAGCCGCTTCGGTCTACAGCTTAGTCGCAGTATCACTAGATAGGTGAGAAAATTCGTCTTCATCGACCAGTAGCTTCTTCTCAGCGAGAAGAAATCTGAGGTGACATATTTGTTGCAGATTCCTAGCGATATGGTGGCCGTTGAAATGCCAGATCACCAAGCACCGGGCCAGGATCATAATAATCTTCATCTGGTTCGTGGCGTTGACGACGACCATGCCTTGGGCGATATTCTTCGATTTGGTGGTGATCTTCAGCGACGCGCCCAACGTGCGACTGTGCATCGAAGTCTGGCCCGAGGAGATGAACGGCTCCTTGTATTTCCTAACGGCCAATTTGCTGTTCTTCTACATATGCCCGATGATACTCATCACCATGTGCTACGTTCTCATTTACATCAAGGTAAATTTCACCGGTGGAATTGATACTTGAAGTTCTACTTTTGTGATTTTAACGCTTAGGTGTGGAAACGCGCCATCCCCACCGACACCAAGGACGCCCAAATGGAGAAAATCCAGGAGAAATCCAAAGTCAAAGTGGTCAAAATGCTGATAGCCGTTGTCATACTGTTCGTCATCTCCTGGTTACCCTTGTACGCCATATTCGCCAGGATCAAATTGGGCGGTGAGATCGAGCCCTGGGAGGAGGAAATCCTCCCGATTGCCACGCCGGTCGCCCAGTGGCTGGGCGCCTCCAATTCCTGCATCAATCCCATACTGTACGCTTTCTTCAACAAGAAGTACCGCAGGGGTTTCGTCGCCATCATCAAAAGCAGGAGGTAAATTGAACTCCTGTTACGAACCTTCTTTGCATTGCACTCTGTTTATACTAGATCTTTTGTAGTTATTGTTTTAGTATACAGATTATCTAGTTTTTTTTGTTGTTGCAGGTGTTGCGGGAGGTTGCGTTACTACGAGACGGTGGCGTTGATGTCTTCGTCAACTAGCATGAGGAAATCCTCGCATTTCTATAACAATAATTCTTCGACGAGGAAGGTGCCCCCGATTCAGGATAACGCGGTTTCGTACATTTACAACAATACGGGTGTTTGAGCCTGGAAATGGTCGAGTCCCGTATAAAAGGTGGGTGTTTTCATTAAATTTATTACGGTTTTCGAATGGAATCGAATTCGATTTAATGAGAAATGTATTTTAACTGTTAATTAAGTTTGATCGTGTGGAATTTTCATCGATGAAAATGTAGAGAATAAATTTTGTAATAAATGCTTGTTTGGTTCGCAGGTCTTGGTTCAACTCGAGGAAATTTGCTCATTTTTTCTCTGGGGGATTTTTCCGGCGAAAAACGAACGCCCGACCGGGAAACTCGTCGAATTAATAAATGTATTAAAGTTGTCAACGGTTGCGGAAAGGGATTTTAGATTTTAAGTCAACCAAAAAATAACTAATATAAATCAATGGCAGAAATTTTTCGGTAATTCTAAGATATATCTCAGCTTGTGGCAGAAAGTATTTCTAATAGCGGAACACTTTTTTAATAAGATTAAAACTAAAAGAAAAATACCTATATCTTTTTAAAATATATGTATATTTAAGCATCACCTGAAGCGTGTCTTAACTCATTTCGTTCGATACGTGTGCGAGGAAATTCTCATTAAAAACTTTCCTAATTAATAATTAAATCACCCATTTTCAAGTACTTCTTTAAATTTCACTCCATTTTGAATAATCGTGTATCAAAAGAGAGTTCAAACATACTCATATCAATTTCTAATCATTAAAATTAAAATTTACATATAGTACAGTCACGACAATTTGCCCATCACGTTTCAATCTTTAATAATAATAATATAGCGACGTTGCCACGTTGTAATTTTTTTCTCCTATATTCAAAAATTTCACATTAACATTTACAAGAATTTATGGTTTAATCATCGTCATAGACAGATTATCGTGAACATTACTCACAAACTAATCACCCGTTACTCTAATCGTAAATGCGATTAAATTATCTAAGGCTCAGTGTCCACACTTATCAGTAAATTAAATTTAAGTCTCAATGGTTGTTGAGAGTTGTTTTTAGAGTAAAATCAGCTGGGCCTTTCTTTTAGATTAAAATAAGATTGAATGGCTTGCCGGTCGCAATTCCTCGTACGAATATGATTTACATACATGCGCCTGTTCGTTTAGTTTACCTGTTTGGATGTTAGATTCTTAGAAGACCCTAGATGTAAATTGAGTACCTATAAGGTTTAAAATCTATCAGAAGAAATTGGAAATTATTTTCGACGAAGTATATTTGTAAGAAGCGCTTTTTAATCGTAAGGAATGGAACGTTCAGAAACTGCCCATTTATTTTAGAATAACAAATTAATTAATAATTATCATAAGTAAACATGTACTAATAATGAAAACAATAAAATAAATCGAAATTGAAATTGAATGATTGCGTTTTCGTTTATTCCTATATTTCCAATGGCGTTTGAACGTGTCTAGTCGGCCGCCTGATAAGGCGAAAAGATGAAAAAATATTTAAATTAATCTCAATGCCAAACGTAAATTTACGTCGAACTTAAATTAATGATTGCATGATGATATTTTGGCTAAATTTTGTTGTGAAAACATAAAACAATCCACACAAGAAAAATTATTTTTCGTTCGGTTCTCTATAAGGTCAATCGTTCGATAACGAAATTTACCGATTAATTAAGGAAATTACACTGGGAAATTTTTACTAAATCGACGATAAAATTTTATTGGGTTCCTAATCGAATGAAAAAATCTAAACAAAACTAGACAGTATACCCAGTTACTTTTGTTCGGTAATGTTCGGTGCATATGTTATGAATATTCATGTGCAGATTTCCATCTGCACGTAATTTTACGGAGGAGGAACATCCACGGTGAGTTTCCATCGATTCCTCTCTGATAATCGATCGCATTAATTCCTATTTGTATCGGAATAGTTTTTAAAATAATACTTATCACGTTTAGTTTGCTCGAAATTTTGGGAGAAATTTATTGGTTTAAAAATTACAGTTATAGCATTATACGCGTTACATTGTGATTATACATGCCTGTAAAGACTTTAAACAACAATTTTAAAATATGAAAGTTCAAAAGTTATCTTCCTCTTAATATTAATTAACCCCCGAATTCGAGATATTTTTAAACTTCACAAATACTGATAATACTAGTAGAATACAATTTATTAGGTATTTAATCAAATTAATGAGAAGTACGTAAATTTCGTATTACGTATGTAGGTATTTAGGTAAAAATTACTGTTGTACACTTCCTGAAGGTGTTCAGTATTGCACGCGGTCAATTTTTATTATTGCTACTATAAAATAATTAGAATTAATGCCCAAGAGTACGAATTTCCACGAAATTGGTATATAACAGATAATTTTCCTCTAAACTCTCGTTCGCAAATTAAAATATCGTTATCGCGTACGATAAATGTGTTTATTAAACAACAATTCTTGTTATGTAAATTAAAGAAATTTCGCATATAAAATCAACCATCCGTGTAAATATTTCACTGTACATCAATTCGATGTATAAGTGAAATATACTCGGGAGTTTTTCGGGGGTTGTTTAATAGGCGATTTTTCCGGTAAGGACCTTTTCAAATTTGACGCACTTCAACGTCATTTCCAAGTATATTTTTAATCAATTCAATTTATTTCTTTACAAGTGCCCGTTTTTTAAACAAATTTGGTTAAAACCCGAAAAATTACTGAAGGGAGATTAGAGAAAGTTGGCATTCTGTGATACGCTATAATCATCTATTAGGTACTTAAAATATTTCACTACTTTACTAACACATTCTATCTTCAACTTTCTTCAGTTCCATTATCAACGTAACTTTATAGCTTCAATAGTACACTAAACAAATTAATCTCACCAGGTGTCCAGAAAAAAATGCTTTCAATAACTCCAATATTAACCATACTATGCCTGTACAACGGTATCGAAGTTGAAGCCGAATCGATCCCGTCGTGCGACAACCCGGTGTATTGCCAAGGCGACCTCCTGGACACCGTCCAGATGGCCAGGCTGTATCCCGATTCGAAAACCTTCGTGGACATGAGCCAAAAGAACCCGCCGAACGTAACGCTGGCCAATTTCGAGCAGTTCATGAAATCGAAGAACCGCCATCCCTCCCGACAGGACATCGTGGACTTCGTGAACGACAACTTCGAGAACAGCCCGGAATTGGTCGACTGGACGCCCGGCGACTACACCAAACATCCGAAGTTCCTGGAGAGAATAGACGACGCCAAAGTGAAACGATTCGCGCAGAGCCTGGTCGACATTTGGCCGATTCTGGCGAGGAAAATCAACGATTCGGTGGCGAAGCGACCGGATCACTACTCCCTGATCTATCTGCCCAACGGGTTCATCATACCCGGCGGCAGGTTCAAGGAAATTTACTACTGGGACACCTACTGGATCATCAAGGGGCTGATCGTCAGCGAAATGACGGATACCGTTAGGGGAATCTTGGAGAATTTCCTCTCTCTGATCGACCGATTCGGATTCATCCCCAACGGCAGTAGAGTCTACTATTTGAACAGATCTCAACCGCCGCTATTAGCTCTCATGATAGGGCTTTATGTAGACGCCACTAACAATAAAACGTGGCTAGCGCAGCACGTCGACACCGTCGAGAAGGAACTGAACTGGTGGATAACCAACAGGCGGCTGCAGATCAAAATAAACGACAAAGAGTACGACATGTTCAGGTACAACGTCTTGAGCGATACGCCGAGACCCGAATCGTATTACGAAGACACGCGCACGTGCAGGAACTTTACGGACGCTCAAAAAGTAAGTACTTTCGTTTGGTGATTACCGCTTTTCATGCATAAGATTCGCTCGCAGAGCGACTGCTACAGAAACTTGAAAACCGGCGCCGAAAGCGGTTGGGATTACTCGACGCGTTGGTTCTTCACCGACGACAGACACCACGGCACTAATTTAAGTTCCATAGACATCACCCATTTGATACCGGTCGATTTGAACGCTTTCCTGTGCAAGGCTTTCGAAGAATTGGCCAGATTCTACGAGTTACTAGGAAACTCCACCAAAGCCTCCTTCTGGCACCAAAGGTATGTAAACCTTTTAAACAACCGAATATTATTCTCTAAAACCATTCGTATTTCAGGCACGCAGCCTTAAAAGACGCCATCCGAGACGTCCTTTACTCCAACGAAGACGGCATTTGGTTCGACTACGATTTGATCAGCAACAAGCGCATCGAGGGGTTCTATCCCAGCAACTTCGCCCCGTTGTGGGCCGACGCCTACGACACCGCCAAAAAGGAGGACTACGGCCTCAAGGCGACGCTTTACTACAAGCAAAACCGGCTGTACAGGTACTTGGGCGGCATTCCCACGTCGCTGCTCAACAGCGGCCAGCAGTGGGACCTGCCCAACGCCTGGCCCCCGTTGCAGGACCTCATCGTTTCAGGTGAGCCAGCGACGTTTCACCGACGCCCGATTCGATAAAGAATTTTCAGGTTTGGCCAAAACCGGCGCCAAGAAAGCGGTCAGGCTGGCCGAGAACCAGGCGAAGAGGACCATCGAGGCGTTCATGATCGGTTTCGAGGAGAACAAGGAGATGTTCGAGAAGTACGACGCTATGAACGCCGGCTCGTACGGGGGCGGCGGAGAGTACTCGGTCCAAGCCGGCTTCGGTTGGACCAACGGGGCGGCGCTGAACTTTATCGATTTGTTCTACACCAAGAGAGAGACCAACAACCAAATGAGATGATAGCTACCACTGGGGTACTACAATTTAATGATTAATTTTTTGTACATAATGTACCGATTTTGTCAAGGGTCGTTTTAGACGATCCTTTTAGATTAAAAAATTATACATAATTAATAAATACTGTACATATTGATGAGAGTTAAAATTCTTCTTTTCCGATCAACTCCAATTTCGACACATTGAACAAGCATATATTAAAATTACAGTCAAAGTGACAAACACAACTCAAAATTCCAGTGCGTTAATGTATAATTCAATCCCTTCAAACCTATGGAAAAACGATCTAAATGGTGAGACTCCTTCAGCTTAAACTAATTTCAAACACCAACATTTCTTAAATCTTGTAGGAAATAAGTTGATAATCGCTGTGGTGTTTTTGGCGTTCCTACAAGAATGCTCGTCCCAGAATCGCCAGTCATGTTACAGCCCGGTGTATTGCCAGGGTGATCTCTTGCACATCATTCAATCGTCCAAGATCTTCAACGATTCGAAAACGTTCGTCGACATGGCAATGATTCACCCGATGAACGAGACGCTGAAGCACTTCCAGGCGCTGATGGTCGAGACCGAAGACAACCCGTCGAGGGAGCAAATCTCCGAGTTCGTTTTCCAGAATTTCAAAACCATCGGGGAGCTGGACGAGGAGTTTCCGAGGGATTTCAAGAAAGAGCCGAAAATCGTGAAGGAGATCTCCGATCCCGTGGTGAGGCAATTCACTCAGAAGATCATCGAAATTTGGCCGACGTTGACCAGGAAAGTATCCTACCACGTCATGGACCATCCCGACACGCACTCGCTGATACCCGTAGACCATCCGTTCATAATACCGGGCGGTAGGTTCAAAGAGTACTACTATTGGGACTCGTACTGGATCCTGAAAGGCCTACTCCTCAGCGACATGTTCGAAACATCAAGAGGCTTAGTACTGAACCTCCTTTCTATGGTGGAAAGGTACGGTTTCATACCGAACGGCGGGAGAATATACTATTTAAACAGATCTCAACCGCCGCTTATAAGCCTCATGGTCGCCGACTACGTGAAATTCACCAAAGATTTCGAGTTTCTGGTCCAGAACATCGGCACGCTGGACAAGGAGCTCCACTTCTGGCTCGACAAGAGGCTCGTCAAAATCAGCAAAGACGGGAAAGAGTACGAACTGGCCCATTACGACTCCGAAAGCGACACCCCTAGGCCGGAATCGTACCTCGAGGACATCGAAACGTGCGCAGAGTTCGAGACCGACGAGGAAAAGGTAAACGTATCGCCGTTTCGAAAACTCTACCGCGTCTCTATAACAGTTGTTCGTTTCCAGTACGAGTGCTACACGGACCTGAAGAGCGGAGCCGAGAGCGGTTGGGACTTCACCAGCCGGTGGTTGTTCGAGAAAGACGGCGAACCGTCCTTCGATTTGCACAAGATCAGCACCAGGAGGAACGTCCCGGTCGATTTGAACGCGTTCCTTTTCAAAGCCTTCAAGGCCGTCCACAAGTTTCATTTAATACTCCAGAACGAGGAGGCCGCCAGGTTCTGGCAGGAGAAGATGGAGAAATGGCGGGAAGCCATAGATGCGATCCTCTGGCACGAAGAAGACGGGACATGGTGGGTTTTTAATATGTAATTACCAATGAATTAATTGTTTCTCTGTAGGTACGATTACGATAGGAAGCTTAAGAAACCGAGAAGATATTTCTGGGCTAGTAATTTAACGCCGTTATGGGCCGGAGCGTTTCCTGAAGACCAACGTCAACAAAGAGGAGCGAAAACGGTGCAATACTTGAACAAAATCGGCATAACCAAGTTAAAAGGAGGCGTACCGTCTTCTCTGTTACCCACGGGACAACAATGGGATTTCCCCAACGCCTGGTCGCCCTACCAAAATCTAATAATAATAGGTAAAACCTAAACTAATGGAGGTACTCTTTTAATTCAGTTATCACCCGCTCAGGTCTAGACAAGAGTAAAGATCCCAACGCCGTGGAGCTGGCGAAAGAGCTGGCTTTCAAATGGGTGAATTCGAACATCAAGGCCTTCCACGAGAACAAGGTGATGTTCGAGAAGTACAGCGCCGAGAGCAGCGGTTCCTTCGGCGGCGGCGGCGAGTACCAGATCCAGGCCGGTTTCGGGTGGAGCAACGGTTGCGTTTTGGAACTGATCCATCTCTATTTCAGAGCTAAAACCAGGAAGTTCGTCGGTTTCGCTTGAAATGGCAACCGCAGCATATCCAAATATATTGTTTTTCCTTTGATTTAATAAAAGCTCGGTCGTATATTTCTAAGGTCTGGAAACATAGGTCGAAAAAGTGTCCGGTTATTCGAAGATAGAACAGGGTTAATAATTAAACAAAATTTATTGAATTAGGTAAGTTTACATTGACGTAGAGAACGTATTCGTTCTCGATGAACGTACATAAATAAAAAGCGAAATATTATCACTGACTGCAGTATGATTACACAGCAATACAATAAATACTGATAACAATTAAACGTATTATAAATAAATAAAACAAATATAAAACATCTCCATTTATCCTTGTCTGTATTATTTACAGGTTGACATTCGACTATTTTAGTCGAAAGTAAATTACCGAAATTAAGTGTTTGTACCTAAGCGAGAACAAATTATTAGTTTATAACGAACGATTTGACCTGGAATTTGATAAGTAAACTTCGTTTTAAATCTTAGCCAATACATATTAAAAATATAAGAGCTTAAATAATAGGGGGGGCACTCGAATATAAACGGTACTTTAGCTAACATGTACTCGGCATTTCTTTACCCAAAAGAGAGGTTTATTTAAGTTTCGAAAGCTTCAACAGTGACCTTACAAGCTTTAAATACTTTAAGAAAGTACTTTAAAGACACCTGTATTTTTCTATTTAGAATTGCCTGCTGAATACAATAGCTAAATTACAACCGTTTATACAAACAGAATCGCCCATTATTTTCTCAAAGCGATTCGCCCTAACTCGTCGTTATCACATCATTCTCCACCGTCATCTCCTTGTTAATCTTATCCACGTCGTTCTCCAAATTCAATTTGAACAACTCCCCGTCGATTTTGACGTTGGATTGTTGACTGGACGCCGACGCGTGGCTGCTCGACCTCGAATGACTGTGGCCTATGGACTTCTGAATCTGGGGCGCGGGCGGCGTCACGCCGCCCGTCGCGACGCCCTGCCCCATCTGCATGTGGTATTTGTAAATGTTTTCGGTCGATTCGACGACGCCCTGCGTCAGATTCAAGCTGCGCCCCCTGATGCCTCCGGTCTCTTTCTGCTTGGGCGACCACCAGTTCACGAACGTGCCGACGATCGGAATGTGCCTGACTATGCCCTCTTGCCACAATCGCTCTTCGTTCTCTTTTTGAAGGTCCAACGTCGCCGTTTCGATGCCTAAATAATCGATAATATTATAGGGTTTGTAGATTTATTATTATCCCGTTTACCTTTCTTGACTATTTCGCTCATGGAATCGAGCACTTTGGAATTCTCCTCGACGGATTGTCCGACTCTTACGACCAATTCGAGCAGTTTATCGACGTCGGATTCGGGCGTTAGCATGCCGAATCTCACGCACATGAGTCCGTCGACGCCTTCGCCTAGGGAAAACGCCGCGTCGGTTTCTCTCAGAGTATCCACGAGCACCATGTTCAAATGGTTCAATTCGTCTTTGGCTTGGTCGGTTAGAAGCTGCTCCCAACCTTCTGGACAGTACCGGACACCGCCCAAACCTAAAATAATCGACGTATTAGAGCGTCGTTTGAGGCGATAAGGGTTCGATTTATTACCTGCCCAATCGGGCAAATCCACCACTTTCAAAACTGGCGATACCTCGACCAGTTTCACGAAGCTCTCTCGATGGTGAACGGTCGCTTTTAGAATGACCAGTTGCTGTTCCAAACAAGCTATGAAGTTTTGTATGTCATCGGAGGTGGGCTGTTGTCCGGATGTATTTTCGAAAGGACAAAATCTCAGTACGACGCCGATGTTGTCCAATTCGCATATGTCGATGGGTACTTGGGGTGCGTCCAATTGCAGGATTTGTCCCAACCAAGAGTTGAGTTTATCGTAATAAGTCGGTACTTTTGATTTGTAGTCGTCGTCCGGTGTTTCGGGTATGAATTGGAAAACAACGCTACAAACTACCGATTCCAGTAACACCTACAAGTAAATTAATTAAATTTAAATTTCGTATACTATACTCGAATATGTACCGATACTGTTGTGGGTTTCGAAACTAATTCTGTTACTGTATAAGTACCACTTTCTCCTCCTGGTTTGGGGCTCTAAAAATTCAAAATTAAAATATATTACAAACAAACAAAGTATATTATAACGTCGTACCAAAACTCTAATTTGTCGGAATCGATCTAAAGCAACCCACAATCTCTCGCTCGCTAAGAAATCCTCTCTAATTCTGGAATGTACACCTTCGGTACCGAGACTTTGTAATCCAGCCCACAAAGGTAGAGATAAAATTCTCTTGCTTTGGTGATCGGTATTCAAACCGGCCAAAAATGGTAAAGTACTCTCCCTGCTCACGCCGACTTGCTTGCTTCGAGCGGAATTATTCAAAGACTCCCAAAGCCTATAGAGCGTCTGGTAACAAAATTAAGGAAAACATCGAATCGAAAACAAATATTATGATAAAAAATATCGTTTAGAAGGATACAATATTCGGCAATCCGGGTATTCCCAACCAACTCCCTAGAGTTAGAGTTAAACTATCGGATAAAGGCGGCACCTAAAAATTACGTTATTTTTATTTAATTTAATTAATTAAGCTAGTAAGCTTACGGGTCCGTTCCTTTGCTGGTAATTAGCCAGCGTTAAAGCAGACAAGCTATGTCCTCTTAAATGTAACCAAAGATCGTGAACCTTACAAAGTTCTTTAATCCTGCTGATGCTATCGATGTGGCCGGTGACTGGAGTACCCGCGTCTGCTATGACAATTAAAGGAACTCTACCATCTGCTATATCGTCTGAAATTACTTTTTGTAAGGCCGACACGTCCATCGTATACTGAGAACCTGAAACGTTTATCGAAATCAATACAACTTAGTGTTTACTAATGCGAGTACTTACCGAAATAAGTATTTGTGGGAACTGGTCTAATACAATCTAAAGGTAATCCTAATTGCCTGCAAAGATACTGCACGCTTCCTAAGGGACTAGCAACACTATTGTAAATCGTAGGAAGCGAATTAGTAAAAACTAAAGCACCGTCTTCGGAATACCTGGGAAACTTGGAGTGTAACATCATTTTAGTGACCCGCACCAATCCTTCTAAATTATCTTCGTGATAGAAGGCGTGACAGTCTAATAACCTTTAAAATATAACATAAAATATACACTAATCGTGCAAATAACTAGGTAACGAACCCAAAGAGTTGTGTTATCCATCTTGTAGTATCAGTCGTGAATCTTGTACTTAATTTTTGTAGAGTTGGTCGCTCTAAGGTTCCGCAATAAACTGACAATGTGTGAGAAATCATGACCAATTTCGTAACGCTGTCTAACGATGGGAAATTGAAGGGTTCACCTTCTTCGTCGCTGTTTAACAAATCATGTATGGTTTTAACGATTTCATCAGTGTGCCTTTTTTCTAATCCCAAAAACACAGTAGTTTGTGCCTGCGAATTTTCGTTTACGGGGATCCCTTCGGCTATTTGCTCTAACCTACTGACTATTTCAGAGGCTTCGATGGCTAGCTCTCCAAGGTTCTGAAATAACATATCAACGAATATTGGGAACCTTATACTTGTGTTATATTCTATAGGATTAGATATCAATGTATTACTTACGTTTTTAGTGGACGTCGTCATTTTAGAATTTACATTTCTTTTAATCGGCTTATAATAAATATATTTGACGTAGCCAAAAATTTATCATTTACACGTCAAATGTGACACTCGATTACGACACGTCACATTTAAATACTGAATAACCTCCGAGTTGTAGACCATTTGTAACAGTGTTGCCTTTAAAAGTTTCAAGATGGTTCTTTTAATAATCATAATCTAGAAATCTAGTCTCCACTAATCACTAGGTATTTTGGTTTTCCTTATGTATAGATATTGTTTATTGCGTTGTATTGTAGATTTAATGAAATTTGTAGCTTACTACAATATTAGTAATGATTAGTAATATATATTTTACGATTTATTCAGTGAATTCAGTGATAGTTTGTGGACGTGGCAAGACTGTATATTTTAGATGAAACAATAATTGACAGGTGACAAACACAGACGACTCGATCTTGAACTAAAACCGGTAAACAATTGATTTGCATGACTTTGACAGATCGGAAAATTTGCGAAAGTTTTCTTGTAAATAAATACACGGAAAGCGTAAGAAAAATAAATAAAATATGAGCGTTAAGAATTGCTGTCACATCCAGTATTTTAAGAAAAAACCGTCTCAATTAGAAACATTAAAATGGATTCACGCCGTATTCGTGATATCGGATACATCAACGACTCGAAAAGCAAAGGTAATCGAAACAGATTACCGGTTAAACCCTTGAATATTAAAACCAACAGAGCGTTTTAGATAGGAAACACTTACTGCAGAACGTGTTGGAGAAGGGGCCCCATTCTGCACGCCTGCCTGGAATGCGTGTACTTTGGCTGCCACAAACACATCAGGGAGCATGCCAAACACCAAAAACACACATTTTCAATGGAACTGTATTACGGACAGATCCACTGTGTCTCCTGCAACGATTACATATACGATGCAGAAATAGATGATCTAACGATGGACAACAAAATGAAATCGGCTGTATTTAAAAAAAGGTGATAATTTCGATTTTTATCCCCTTAATACATCGATTGAATTACCAATGTTTTGTAGATTATTCGAATCGTCATCGTGGAATGCTTCGGAAGAAGAAAAAGAGTTGTTGAAGTGTAAAACTAAGAAGATTTGCATCACTCCCGATTCCCCTATAGGTCTGAGAGGCTTGACCAATTTAGGACTTACTTGTTACATGAACAGCGTCATACAAGCCCTGATCCACACGCCATTTTTAAGAGACTATTTCCTCACGGAGAGGCATAGCTGTAAATCGACTGTAGGCGCTTGTCTCGTATGCGAAATGACCAAAATATTTCAGGTACTACTTCTTACTAATCTATCATTAACTAAATTATGTGATGATATGTTTGCAGGAGTTCTATAAAGGTTCCCGATTACCGTTGGCACTAAACGAATTGCTGCATTTCACCTGGATAAACGCCAGCCATTTGGCCGGGTACGCCCAACAGGACGCCCACGAGTTCTTCATCAGCACGTTGAATTTGCTGCACAAACATTGCGTGGACACGACGCCCAAGGGCAACGACGTCACGCCCAGGGGGAACGAGAAGTGCCCGTGCATCATCGATCAGATATTCAGCGGAGATCTCCAGAGCGATCTGGTTTGTAAAAAGTGCAAGTAAGAGGAACGAGCGGTTTCGTCTCGATGCCTACTTGTAGAACAAACATTTTTTCAGCGGCGTGTCGACTAAAATCGATCCGATTTGGGATTTTTCTTTGGATTTGGGGCCCGTTACGTTAGGAGGCAGGCAGCAGTCTTCGTTAGATAAATGTTTGGAAAGGTTTACCGAGCCGGAATCTTTAGGTGAGATATTCTGCTCTAAATGCCAGTCGTATGAGGAATCCACCAAGCAGTTTACCATGAGGACGTTGCCGAATGTCGTCAGTATTCATCTGAAACGCTTCGAACATACTACGGTAATTAATCCGATTACCCTAATTATCCTATTTAATTAATTAACGATTTCTAGGTTCAAAAAAAAGTTCCGGCGGTGATTTCGTTTCCGGAAATGTTGGATATGACGCCGTTTATGAGCAGAAACGAGGAGCAAACGCCCTTTCCAATCGATAATAGATATACTTTATTTGCTGTTATAATACACATCGGCGAGAGGATGGATATGGGTCATTATGTAACGTACGTGAGACAACAGCACAATTATTGGTATAAATGCAACGATGAAGACATAACTAGGGTCAAATTGGAAGACGTTTTAGCTTCTGAAGGGTGAGTCTGTGCTCTGAAATACATGGATTATTTTTTTAAACGGTTTGTATTTAAGGTATCTTCTCTTTTATCATAAGCATGTCCTCGAGTATGAATAATGAGACTTGGGAGAGAAATTAAAAGATATGTGATATTACGTTTGAAATGGTTGTATAATTTTTTTCCTCCAAGGTGTGGGTGATTGTATCGACACCTTGGTTTCCATTAAAGTGATAAAAAAGCGTTTTTTTAATAAATGGTTTTATTGTAGATGAAACAACTATAAACTAAATTAATAATTAAAATCCAGGTATGACTTTTCCCTTTTTAACTGCTTTTTTCAGTTTGTTTACTTTCTTGTCCTTCTTCCGCTTCATGAGGTTTTCATTTCTCTTTGTTTGTCGTTCTTGTTTGGCCTTTTCTACTTTTTCATTCCGTTGTTGCCATTTTTTCTTGCTCGACCGCTGTTTTTGTTCCTTTCTTTTGATGGTTTTCTTCAGTAAAGTCGGGTCATCTTTGATTTTCTCGCCTTCGGCTTTAGCTAATGCGTTCTTCCAAGCGGTTTTTTCTTTAATTTCTACCGCTTTTTCTATTTCGCCGCGTTTTTTAAGTTCTTCTAGAGTTTCTTTTTGCTTCTGTAGGTTTTCGAGGAGCTTTTTCGGGTCCTTTTTAGGTTTAACTTTACGATTAGTGTGCTCAAAGTCGACTTTGGAAAATTCTATCTTATTTTCTGTTTTAACAACCTTCTTCTCTTCAACTTCTTCCTCTTTTACTTGTTGAGGAGCTGTTGATAATTTGGTAGCTCTTTCTTGTTTTTTATTCGCATTTCGCAGATCTTGTTGTGTTTTCTTTTTCAGGCGGTTTTTGATACCTTTCTTCACTAATTTCTCTTTATACGTTTGTTTCTTCTTTCCCCTAATAGCGTCCAAACGTTGTTGTAATTCTACTAATGATCTGGCCCTTTCTTTTTTATTAGAGTTCAATTCAAAGGGTAATTTTTTGTTGTTTTCAATTATATCTTCATTTTCTGCTTCTGGAAATTTGAATGTCTAGTTAATACTATACCTAGCATACCAAAAAATGGAAATATTGCATTGAATTTAACCGCACTTTATGGTAAATAACTGGAAATAATATAGGTTACCTTTTCGTTCTGGTATGCAAGAACGTTTCAACAAACTTGATATAAATTTATTCTCGGTTATCAAACACTCCTCTATTTTCTTTTTGTTGAATTTTTCGCTTAAAAGTTGCATTTTTAATCAACAGAAACTCGTGGAAATTACAAAGTTATCTGTACGAATTGTTAGGTTATGTTTTTAAAACTCAGGGTGGCCAACATGAAACGTCAAAAAGTTCTCCATATTACTATCCTTTACATCGTGGGTTTTCAGCCATGTTTTGTTAAAACAAAAACAGTAATATATTATTTGAAAACTAAAATCATTGTCAAGTTTATGTAAAAAAATAATTAACAGAAAAACACTAAATTCTAGTATTCAAAAATGGTGCAAGATTTTAATTACCACGCGCAAATGAAAACGAGACGAGTGGGCCCCGAAGTAAGTGTTGCATTTTTTCGTATTCTCTTCACCACCGCTATTTTCCCTTATAGAAATGGCTGATATCCGTCCCTATTGTGATGTCGGAGAGATTTCAAGTGAAAAACTATTTGCTAGACAGCCCAGACGGGCGCTCAGGGGACATCTTCAAAGTCAAAGAGTCGGCTCTCAATTACGTGGGTGAGTTACCGTAAAGCCTCTCTTAGAGGCTCCTGCATCGTTCTCCATTCGGTATACACTTTTTGTCAAAATAAGTGACACTTTTACGAGCAATGTAGATGGATTAAAATTTCCAGCTTCTCCAAGAATAAAGAGATTAGCTCGACCGAAACCACGAATCGATGCCGATCAGATGAGGGCCTCTGAAAGTTTAGAATCGACAATTTCTCGCGTGAAAATGAGCGCTCTGAGCTACATGCCTTCCAAAAGAATCCTACAATTAGCCAGGCCCAAGGATGCTATTCATGAACGTAAAGTAATTGGTTCGTAACATTTTTTTTCCCAACGCCAATCTAACATGAAGATAAATAAAAAAGTAATGATTTAATAGTATTTACATTTTATTGGTTTAATATTAATATTATGGACGCAAATAACATGGTATAAATGAAGCCTTAAATTGAAGACCAAACACAATACCAAACTATAAAAAATCACATTGTTTTGTTTAAAAAATTCGTAATCAAGCTCAATTTAATCAATTAACACCCACTTACTGTAACACTTAAAACATGTCTAACCATTGTGTTTTCAAATTTTATTGTAAACGAATTATTTATGTTAAGACAATATCAAATAAAAAGTAAATAAATATTTTAAAGATACAATAAAAAAATTACGATGATTAGGACTCTTGTGTATAAATTGAACAACGATAAAATAATGATCGTTAATTAAGTACTCAAATTGTTAAAACTATTTACAAGTGTCTATAGTCTCACTAAAAAATAAATCTAATCAATAGAAAAACTTGGTTTTGGAGGTATACAAGACGAAACAAAAATACCAAATGATCAAATCGAAATTTTGTGTATTTTTCCCTTTAATTCACAAAAAAAATAAATTCACTTTTGATTCACCGTGTATACCAAAGCCTATAATAAAAAATAGACTGATCTCATATCAATATAAATATTCAACAAGGCGATATATAACCCTAACGCATTACCTTTTCATCCTCTCCGTCAATCCCAAATATCCGCAGGGAAATTGTTTACTTCTACTTGATCTTGAACGGGATTACCATCAATCAGGTAGGAAAGCCTTACTTTCATCTTAAGGGAATTCTAAAAAGGAAAATAACAAACATTTTCGTTACATTCTAATCCCTACTATACTCACCCTGCTAGGATTAGTGACCTTCAAATCCTGTGTTACATTACCGTTAGGCGATAAGACAGTACCTGAAGGAGACAACATTTGCAACTGGAATGTCTAAAACAACAAAATAAATAAGTAATGTACGAGTTTATATTTTGTGTTATAACATACTCTAGGAACGGCTACTTGGAATATGTAATCAGTCATAGTAGACAACGTGTTATTGGTTGTGGTCACGTTTATAGACAAAGTATTACTGTCTGGTATTTTGTTTAAAGAAAACACTATTTGTAAACCGTCCTTGTTGTAGGCAGTAAGCGTAGGCACGTTTCTTTCTGCAAATGTTAATATAAAATAACGAATTTATTTAGGACTAGATAAATTTGAACACCTACCGATAGCGGTACTACTGAATAGATCACCCGAAAGAAAATTAGAATTCTGATTACTAATTAAGGCGTTGCTGTTGTTATTCTCCATAATGAGACCCAAATTATTCCCGCCCGTATCCGTAGTCGGCGTCGACGAAATGGGCCCCAATCCCAAGAGATCCAATAAATCTTGATTATTAGTATTCGATACGGGCTGCGCAACCGGTTGCGATATCTTCATAACATCCAAATCCGACGTACTATCCGTCCCTCCCAACAAATCCAACAAGGCATTCTGCAATACACCCTACATTAGAATTAATTCCAACAAATCGATTGCATTCAAAATACCGATTCGCTATGGACGTTATGCCGCGGGCTGTTGTCTACAGATCTCATTTCCGGATCGCTGACATCGCCGTTCGTCTGACCGTTGTCCGCCTGGCTCCGCGTCAGCTCCATGGGCGGCATTCTCTCCAACAGCGGCGGCCGCAGGTGCGAGTATTTACCGAACAACTGCGAATACTCCACGCCGCGTTGCTGCAACTCCACGTGCAAACTCGAACAGAACGAGCTGATGATCTGCTGGATTTTACTGGACAAAAAAACAAACATTAAAATCTCGCGGTTAATTCTCAAGCAACGTAGTTACTTGTTGGTGTTGTTGAATCTCGTGCTCAATTTGGTCAAGCTCATCAGCGTGTATTGCTTCGTGGTGACCGTGTTCTGCGGGGACCACAGCAATTTTTGGTACAACTCGATGACCTCGTCTTCCGTCGGCGGGACGATTCCGTTCTCTTCGTCCGGGGTGGCTTGCAGGAGAAGATCTCCGTACTCGCCTATGGACCATACGGCTATTTGGGTCAGGGGCTGCCGGTTTTGGTGGTCCTCCGATAAGGCTTTGAACAATTGCAAAGACACGTACGATTGTTGACTGCTGCTGTCTGATATTAATTGTATCGTCGAACTGATCACGTCGTCTCTAACATAATTGCCGGCCTAAAATCAGTGCAATATATTTCAATCGAATAGTTACGTAAAGTTCAAGTTCGTCGAACTGTTTCTATTAAAAAGGACACAATAATCAATACGACCTAAATTTAACGTTATAAAAAGCTCATGCATATTTAAATAGACAGCGCGGCGGAAAATTGATTCAACTATAACGAATTTAGGTCACCATTTTTTTTACTTACCGCCACCAAGACTTTGAGCAACGTGTCTAAATGCCATCGCTTGTTCGGCGCGTACCTTTCGGCGGCCAGTACGATAGCGCTCGAACATTGCGCCTTAAATTCCGGATCGGTTTTCTCCAAAAAGGCGAGCAATTCCTTCATCATGGTTCTGATGTTCTGCGCGTTGACCAATGCGAACGACAATTCCATCGCTCGACGCCTTATCGACACGTCCGGATCCTTCAAACATTCCAATATGGTCGATCGGTGACGTTGAACGGCCGATGTGTCCACGTGAACTGTCCTCAATAGGGTGTTTAAAGCGACGTATCTTATATTTTTGTCGTTGTTCAATAGGAATCTACCGAGAATGTTTACCGCAAGCACCTACAAACATAGTATATGATGCTTGTTGTAATTTATAATAAAAAGAAACGTTTACTTACTCTCAATCCACCTTCGGATTTGATATCCATGATGGATAAAACGGTTTCGTATAAAATAGTGTTGCCCACGTTTTTGCTGGTTTCTGTATTGGTCGCCACTTGCGCCAGGATGTCGTTCATTGCCTCCGAAGCGTCCACGTCGTTGATGCCGAGTACCCGTAAAAGTTTCAAAATTTTTACCTACAAAACATTTAGATGAATGACTAAGTAATTAGAGCGAACAACTTGCGAAATTACCTGCAAAAAGGGATCGCTAACTCCCGATACGTCGTGCTCCGGGGAATAACCGGCAAGAATTAGGTTCTTCAATATCCTGACCAAATTTGGCACAATCTAAAAAGTAATATTTATTTACGTATCGCATGGTGAAAGTGATTCATGTATTCAGACTCGATAAACGTTAACATATACGACCGTAGTATACAATTAGTACTTACTTTTTTAAAGTGACTCAAAGTGTCTGGACTGTTTTCGCACATTTCAGTAATAAGCGTTACGCCGGTGATCAAAACACCTACAATAAATAAACGCATCGTTAAGCGATAAACGCATAAAACTTCTCCGTTTTTACCGTGGTTTTTCTCCGAAAGCAAACTCCTGGTGGCCGGCAGGAATATCTCCATCAGTTCAGGTACTCTCTTGATGATACGGAACGCGCACAGAGCAGCCTTCTTGCGAATGTAGGCGTTGGGCGACTTCATCAGCCGCTCGATTTCTCCGGCCAGATCCCTGGCCATTTCGGGCGATGCTATTGCGCCTAAAGTGCACAGCGCCAGGCCCACGACAAATTGGGTAGCCGAATTCAGATCGCTGCGTTACGAGAAACAAATTCGCGTGAGTTGTTGTACGTAAAAGTATTTAGTCGACTCACTTTTTCAGGCAATTCGTGATCAAAAGATGGACGTCCTGGCGCTCGTCTAGCAGCAGCATCGCTCCCAGATAGCCTATTCGCTTGTCGGTAAACCTGGGACTCGCTATCAATTTTAAACATTCTAATTGACCAAAATGTGCTGGATAACCCAACATGTGGATGTATAGGAGTTTTGCGATATTTCGACACCTGTAATAAACACATTTACAGTGATATAAATATACATACCATTGTAATAACTTATTCTAATTGTACTTTATTTAATACATTTTAATTTAATCCTAGATTTAACTGACACGTTTCTAAAGTTAGTGTTAAACAACACGATTATTAAAACTATGTTATGCATTATAAATATGTCGTTGCATTCAGGTGCAATAAATACATCATCGGAGAGATTTAAACAATAACAGCCTACTCAGAAACACCTCGAGCTGGTTATATATACGAAATATACCGAAAATAAATACCTCCATACGGAATCCTCTTCGCGAAATGTAGATCTAATATAGGCACATTCCTTATTAACGACACTACGCTCCTCGGCTGCGGTCCTTGCAGCTCTGATCTGTCGAATGAGGTCCCTCAAACGCATAGGGGTCGGCATTCGCACTGGGGAAAGAAGTATGTGTTAGAAACATTGTGGGATCGAACGATGCGAAAAGCTTATACCTCTTTCGATAGCCTCATTTACCACTTGCTTAATCGTGGCCATGTTAAAGGCGGGATTAAATCTAAAATGAACGGAGAATTAAGTGAGATAGTTAAACGAGTGTTCGTGGAAATTATTACCCGTGCTCTGAAGCATTCATGTTTGATAATTTAGCTTTGTCACAACCACAATACAAATCAGGTTATACAATCAATTAATATTTAAATGGACACACGCACACTGAAAACGTTTATTGTATATCCATTACTGATTATACTACAGGGTGAGTTAATTATCGATCCCTCGAAATAAACTAACAAGTATTAGTAATAATTAATGTTTTAGCAAATAATTGTGAACCGTACGAATTCACCTGTTTTTTAACACCTTGTGATTTGACAGATGACATTAAAAATTGACCAAACGCGCCGAGTTTCACGAACAAAACCGCCTAAACATCACCAAAAACCACCAATTTATTTTTCGAAAAAGAAAATATGTTCCAAAAACCTAATGCAAAAAGTGCCACTTTTTTTAACCATCCCACTAGTTTGACATTCGGCATAGGCAATATGGCCGGCACTGTGACGTCACACCTGCCGTGATGTGGACACAAGTGACGTAGAACCTACCAGTAGGTTTTTCGTTGTGTTAGATTTGCCGAAATGATCTACGGCTAATCGATTAGAATTATTAGTTGAATCGATTATTTAGTAATACGAAAATTAAATACACCGGGAAAAGTGATTCGTTAGACAGACAACAAAATTATTTATTTCATACCTGCGGTTCGCTTCGGGTGGCAAAACGCTCCAATCCGATTCGTAATAGGGATACATATTTTCCCTACGATAATTATATTTATTCTAAACCAACAACTTTCTATTAATTTTCACTACAAATTAGGATTAGAAGAAAATTCATGTCGCCTAAGGTATTAAGTACAGCTATTATAAGCTTTTATTCTTGATAATAATAAATACAGAGATAAGAAAGTTACACATATGTATATCATTATCAATTTATCAGAGTACCGGTCGGTTTTATTGCAGGAATCGTTACCTATTTTTCTGAATGCTCAAAAAGTGTAATCAAGATATTTATCACTTCTCGGTTTGTTTATCGCTGTATGTATGTATGTATGTTATCAACATGTTGCGCACTTTTATCATGAGGAATTTTCTGGACGAAATTAAAAAGATTGTACTGTAATTATTATGTAAAACTGGTACACAAAAAACATTTATTCAATATAATTTATGAGTTCTACGCGATATAAATGAATAATTAATAAATGTAAAGAGTATTGCCTATATAAAGACGTCTGGATATTTTCTATAATGAGCTGTACGCCTCAAAGTAAAAGGTGAAATGGCAAAAAACGAAGAAGAAAAAATCTGAATTCTTCTTTTTTAAAATTAAAATGAAACGTCAAAACATTTAACTAAACAAAATGTAAATATTTGGGAAAACATTTAATCCTCAACCAAAATCCCCGATATTCTTCGCTAATGCTGCCTTGTTTTATATTACCACCGTTTCTTTAGTATCTCAACTGATAATTCACTAAAATCACAATGTAATCTAATTATTTTGACGTAAATCCAAATTTAAAACACTTCAAATATTTTAACAGATACCTAAAATGAGTATAATTTCAATTATATCAGAAGCTCAAGGTCGGAAGGCTAAATTGTTTAAATAATATGGACAGGCACTCAAGGCAATGGAGTATTTAGGAACTATTGAATTAATTTATATAATATCCTTTTTGGTATGTAAAAAAACTACTCACTAATTGTAATTTTTAATGATATCGCATTGCGTTTCAGGATTTACTAGCTGTTGGGGCGATTTTTCCTGTATTCACCCAGCATTTAAGGGATTTGGGTGCTTCTCATACTACAATCGGGATATTTGCCTCGGCTTATTCAGCAATTCAGGTCGTCTCGGGGCCACTTATAGTAAGTAAATCATGCAAGAAGTGTAACTCAATTAAACCCAATTTCCTTTTCCAGGGAAGCTGGAGCGACATAAGAGATAGGAAAACTGTCTTAAAAGCCACCGTTCTGTCGTGTTCAATATGTTATACATGTTTGGCGCTATCTGATTCACTAACAGTTATATTTGTTGTAAGATTTTTATTGGGTAAGTTAAACTGAATCGACTGGAAGCTTTGAGATTGCATATTATAATGTTTTAGCCATAGTTAAACACACACAAACTATTTGTAAAGCTATAATAACTGATTTGATACCATTGGAAGAACAAGGAGAATTCTTCGCCAAGTCAGTTTCCATCGGAACATGTGGATTTATCATCGGACCTCTCATCGGAGGAAACCTGGCTGAATTACAGAATGGGTTTAGCTACGTTTGTGCCTTTACAGCCGGATTGTTCCTTTTAAATTATAGTTAGTACTTACAACTTAACAAGCAGTAATAACACTAATTATTATATCCAGTTCTAGCGTGTTACATATCGGATGATTTGGTGCTTGATAGAAAATTGTTCGCTGCGGATAATTTGAGCATCTGGCAGAGAATAAAGTCGGAATTGAAGAAAACGATAGACGAACTGAGCGAAATCGACTGGTCCCGACATTGGCATCCTTTCCTCTTGAAATTCATCTTGGGATTCTCGATGGCCTGCTATTTCTCCAATCAGGGCTTGTATTTGCGGGAGACCTACAATTTATCGCAGAAACACGCCGGCTACATGATCTCCTACTTCAGTATCATATCGATCGTAGCCGGCCTGCTGTTGAAAAAAATCCACTACGTTCTAAATTTCGACAACATTTACACAAAGATGATTCTGTGGTACGGAGTATTAACTTTAAGTTTCATACTTTTATATTTTGCGCAAAATTTTAACACTTTCGTCGGATTGTTGATTCCATTGTCAATGTCTTCTACAGCGATGAGAGTGGTGACGATGGAGCTTATGTTCCAAAATACGGAATCTTTTCACAAAGGCTCGCTTTCCGGAGCTTCTAATAGTATTATGTCTATAGCTAGATTCGTAACCCCGTTATTCACCGGCGTAGCTAGCGATATTTTTGGTGAAAAATTTGTGATGCTATTAGCAGCGATTCCTGCTAGTATAGGATTAATTGTCAGTTGGATTCTTTTGATAAGACACAGGCAACGTATTAAAGAAGAATAATTTTTAATTTTGTGTTTTTTTTTTTACTTAAAAATAGGTAGAAAAATGGATTTAAAATTATCTACAAAATTTAGTATGTAATGTGGTATAAAGGTTTTTCGCTTTTCTTGCCCCGAAACCCGGCAATTCGGATAATTGTATTTCAGTAGCTTCTAAAATACCTTTCAAAGTTTTAAATTTGTTAATGAGAACCGTCGCATCGGATTTATTTACAGATCTTATGGAAGTTAAAGCTTGAATCAACTATAACATACCGGTTTTTAATAATAATGTATTAAAAATTAAATATCTTACCCTTAAGTACGATGAAGATTCTCCTTTTTCTTTTAAAAATTCAGCTGGTTTGTTTTCGTAAATTTTATATGTTTCTATTATTTTTCCGGCTTCCTCGGCGCTCCAAGCTAATATTAATGTTAAATCGGCCAAAATGCATATTCTAGTTAAATTTTTTAACACATGATGCGGATCTTTGATATCAACCTAAAATTTCAAACGTACAATTTGGCTTGAAACTTGAATCCAAAATGTTAACCTGCACTAACAAAACCCTTAGATTGTACAATTTCCCTAATTTCTTCAATCTATCGTGAATATAATCGGGATTTAAATTGTGATAGCGTATAGACAGAAACAAGGCACACGTGGAAGGTCCCATTTGATAATCTGGAATTATATCACTAAACTCCCAAGGGACGTTGCTTATAGACTTTAGTAAAGGATTCCCCCTTTGCTTCGGGTTTACTAATATTGTATAGGATTTATTTAAAACTTTTATAGTAGTTGTTGACGAGGAGGCATCGCTGGAAGTTCCTGTTAAAATGATATATTCTCATATTTCGATATGTTATATCTTATCTGTTACAAACCTGAGACTGGTTCTTCGTTGCCAAAAAAATCGTTTTCGAATTCACTCGCAATATCTTTCAATAACGATTCATCCATGTTTTGGACTGAGTTAAAACAATTCGTTTAATAAAACATATTTAAAATCTACAGAATATAATACTTGTTTACAATTTTTTTAGGTTATGTTAATTAAAAACTAACATTGTCAATGTCAAAATTGTAACTTTCTTTCTTCTTTTCTGATAATAAGGCCTCATCTGATGGACAATTCGGCTAAAATTGTAACTGTTGCTGTATAGCCTGAGTAGCTGAGATCAGAGAACAACAAGAAATATGAAGAATTTGTCTGCCTTTTACTATTCGTTTCTAAAGTTAGGCGCTCAACAAAATTACATGATTTTTGGCAATTCAGGATGCCCAACCTAAACATTTGGAAACTTCTGATACTTCCGGTTGTAATCGATTGTATCGGAAATCGGAAATATGTCAATGCCAAAACTTTCTTTCGACATGTCATATTCAAAATTTCATTTTTAAATTATCATGTAACGAATTTCGATTAAAAATTAAACCAAATTAATATTCAGTGATGCTGAAAACCGCTGAAATCCTTGATGAAATTGTCTATTGGTACAAACGTTACAAGCGTAGAAATCATGGGTGAATTTTGAGGTGAACAGCAGAAAAAAATGGATAGAAATAACATTATTTTTAGACTTCAAATTATAACATTATTAGTAAGTAATTTTAAATTTTTTTTACTAATAAGTAACACAATTTTTTCGACCTATATAATATATAAATACTAGTTATAAAACATTCGTCTTGTCAATAGCGATGTTGGTTAATTTCAGTTCATTTTTACAAAAATCCACACTAAAATATTATTTAAAGACAATGTGCACTTAAAATCACAATAAGAAATTGTATTGATAAATTTCGAATGTAATTTCATCAAACGCAAAGTTATTTTATCGTCGATTGTAAAGACAGTCATGAGGTAATCATTAAAAACGGATACTTTTACTCCCAACTCATAATGGAACATAAAATTTAAGTGATCAATCTCATTTAATTACTTTTAATATAAATATATATTGTTTATTGAATATATTAACGCTCTTTAAAAGCGCTTTATTGCCCCACGACACTTTTTTTTAACTATCATAAATGCGACGACGACATTTATTAAATACCTACTAAAGTTATTTCGTTTGGAAATCGATTTAAGATAAGTTGATAATTTATGATGGTTGTTAATTTAACTTAAAAAAATATAGGGCGTGTTTCTACATGGTATGCTAGAATATCCTTTAAAAACATTGTTTATTAAATTTATTATTGCAGGATTCTATTTGCTATGGTTTGATATACATATTTCTTGCACCATATTTGCTCGTCTTGGGAGGAAATGCTATAACTATTGGAATATTCGGCTCTGTAACAATGGTATTTCAAGTCATGTCTATTCTCATTGTAGTAAGTACCTACAGATGATGATAAAACTATCGAATTTCTGAGTTAATATTTTCCTTCTAGAAAGAAATGTTACAACAAAGCGGTCTTAAAGAGACTCTAGTAGATATGTTTATTATCGCCGCCATCACTCATACTATGCTATTCGTGACCAAAAGTCCGTGTGGCGCTATAATGATTAGATGTCTTTTCGGTAATAGTTATCTTACAGGTAATCTCGAATCATTGAAACATTAACTATTCCAGCTTCCGTTAACCAAACGACGAACGTCATCAAAGAGATATTCGTGAAGTACTTACCGCAAGACCGTAGGGAGTACCACATGAACATTTACAACACTTTGTATTCGGCCGGTTTTGTTATCGGGCCTATTTTGTCCGGAGCTTTGTTCGAAATTAGCTTTACATACAGTTGCTTGCTAGCAGCCATCTTGACCATCGTCAATATATGTAAGTTGCTAATTGGATAGTTAAAAAAAAACGGCGCTAATTCGATTTTCGTATATAGGGTTGATAGTTACAATACCGATCGAAGAAGACATCGTCTCGACCCCAGTGGACGTGTCTATGGTGAAGAAAATCCGGCAAACGGTCGAACACCGACTAACCGAATTCCGGCAGCCGATTACCAAAGAAAATTGGGACATTCTGGCCGTGCAATTCCTCTTCACGGCCAACGTTATATTCGTAACGACCAAATTCGCGCCGGTCACGTCGCACAACTACCAGCACTCCCATTCGGACCTCGGCGTAATCTGCGCCTACATGAACATACTGATCTTCGTCGCGTTGCACTTCTCGCCGGCCATCATGGAGAAGCTGGACCGGCATTCGCCGGCCACCGTGGTGAAGGCGATGTTCGGCGTGATACTGGTCTCGGCGGTTCTCTCCTTCTTCTCGCCGTACATCCTGCTGTTCTGCGCCATGTACGTTCCTCTGACGTTCGCCAGGATCGTGCTGAACGAGTCGTGGAAGGCGGTGCACCACGAGCGGGGCGGTTCTCGCCTGGACGGGATCTGCGAATCGGTGAATTTCGCGTCGGGTTTCGCGGTGCCGCTGGCGTTCGGCGTCGGCGAGTTCTACTTCGGGCACTTGGTGACCATCTACTCCACCATCGTGTCGTTGGTATTGGCGATGCTCGTGGTGCAGTTTGTCACCATTTCGAAGAGTCAGAGCGGTCGTAGCTCGTCCGCCGGCCACGACTCATCGGTACCTAAGGAAAGTTGTCCGGCGTGCTACGACACCTGCGGGAATCCCTGCTGCCAACCGCTTTCCTTTTGCCCCAAAACCAAGGAGAATAAATCTTGTTGAAGATTGTGTAGTTGTTGGTAAAGTACATATTCTAGTAAATAGTTTTTTTTTTGTAACTAAAGTAATCTTGTTACGTTCTTAGATTTGATACAAAACGGCGATTAATTCGATTAAGCAGTATTAAGGAAGGGATCGAATTAATTAGATAATAAATTAAATCGTCGGTATATTGTTGAATAAAAAAAGGAGTCTCGAAACGTACGGCTTACATTTAAATTGTTAATGGAGCTGTAATTACCGGTGCGCGCATTTTGTGGCCGCATGTTCTGAATAAATTGCGAGGATGAGTTATAAATGCGTTTCGAAAAGTGAACATTCGCCCGTGTGATCCAGTTTATTTATCTCGAATCATTTTTATGGACTGTTTATCATGTCCGGGGAGACGTTTTGATTTCTCCAGGTACGCACTCGGCTCGTAATTGCAATTAAAACGGCCCGCTCGCAATCGATTCGGCTAATTATATTCGCATTGCTCACATTATATCAATTTGCTCGTATACAAATTTTATACCTTCATTCTATCAGCTTCAATTCTCATCATAGGAAAATCCTCTTGCTCAACAGTAAAACAACCGAAATACAGGGTGTGAAAAAACAACACATCTATCAATTCAAGGTATTATAAAATGACAAATGACGTTTATACAGCGACCGGTCCTGCGTACAAGCCGATGTTGTAACTTGTCACTGATGAAAATAAATTGTTTGTTCGCGAAGAAAGTACTTTTTGGATACCTCGCGAGTAATTTACGCTCTTAAAATTTATACATCCCGAAATCAGATAAACATTTTATTTATGTTACATAAAAAAAGGCATACCACGGCTCAATGAGTTACGGTTTCGGTGCTGGAGTGCGGGGCAATGTAAATTCGGAATTTATCATTCCGATTAGAGCCGAAACTGTAATAAAGGCATGAAGGTCTAGAAAAATGACAGGGAGGTGGAAATAAGTCGTTTATGAAGGAAGCGAGAAAAAGTTAAACAAATCTGGGAGGTTTTTATGGTGCATTTAGGTTGTCATTTTTACCTGTTTATTCAACTCATCGTGAATGGATTAAAAAATATACGAGTTAATTAAGCGAAGTGCTGACAAGGGAAGAATGTTACATTTTAATTTCGTCGAAATGAAATCTAAATTAAACCGAAATATCTCGTCAGACCACTTTACACAACCCCCTAGTACGATCAATTTAGGCGTTTCTATTAGTTTGTTGACGTTTGGTTAATTTACCCTTGTCATTTCGGCTGTTCATTAGTACTTGTTTATCTCGACACCTTTCATTTATTTTATCATTTTTATCTAATAAACTAGTTCTATAAAAAGCAATTTTAACCCTATACACATCGAGAAAATAAATATAGACCATTGCCATGTTTTCCTTAGGATAGATGCTCAATAAATTCGTGAATTATATTGTTCTTACAGAGCAAAAAAATATCTACCTAAAGTTTAATTTTTGCGGCTTCTTCATTGCGGTTTGAAGGGGTATCATTCTAAAATTATAGGTACTCGTATACAATAGAGAAACCGGTAGTGGTACTGGTTTGAAGTTCGAATTTAAATCTTTTATTTATTCTTGGGGCATTATAAGATTTCCATTTCGTTATGTAATCGATACATCTCACAATACCTACTGCTTCCTTTTCACCATTAGCAGGTACCCGAACTTCGATTTTTATTATTTATAGTCGAGATCCAGTATACAGAATTAATGAGAAAATATAGTTAAACATAGAGATGGGCGTTTAGATAAAAAAAAATCGAATCATTCGTTTTATTAATTACAGTTGTCTAATTACCATTATTAAAAATAATCGCGATCGGCTCCGCTGTGTGTGCATAAATTTAATAAATGCGGCATTAATACCGGGATCACAGCCATTAATTTTTGTTATTTATCCCTCGCACTGGCAATATCAAAACATCAGTTAGGCTTCATTAATATCGTTAATCGAGGGGATCCCACTTCTGATTTATCCTTCCAGTATTCCATTACATTTTTTCTCGTCTGCCTCCCTCTTCTAGGTGTGAGAAAATTCGAACCGAATGCTCGCCTTGATAATAAAAAAAAAGCAAATAGCGCCTGTATCAAAAGTAATTTGCTGTTATCTGCACGTATATATTTCGAATAACGCATTAATACATACACCTATTACGTTTGTGACCCACGGCATGGGGTCCATGGGGTCGAATGGATACATATACTTCTCGTACCATGGGCGGTACGGAATCCACCTTATAGTAGAAAAAAGAAAAATTATTGAGAAACGACCGTACGGGCAAACGAAATGAATATAATACGCCTCGACTAGAAAGTCGTTCTTTTCCTGTTATTTTCATACACTCGAATCCAATACAGAGTGCGCTGTTTAAAAGAAAATTGTGCAGGTATCGCAGTAGAAAAAAAAATGTGAATTTTTATTGGCCACCCTGTAGATCATCGCGAAAATTTCTCGACAGTGACAAGACACGCAGAACTTTGTTAAACGCGTTATTTAACGAGACGTGCGACGATGATTCGACGTGATTGATTAGAATTAAAAGACCATGTTCGTATACAGGGTGTGATAGATACGTGGAAATTTAATACGCTCATGGACTGCACCGGCGTTTTGTATTCAGGTATAAAATAAATAGCTTCAAATGCGCAAAAAAATCCGTATTAAACTCCGATATGGTCGGAAGGAAAAGCGTGAAATGAAACTCGCCGAGACCCTATGAAATTGGAGTTTTTTCAAGTGCCCCGTCGATCCCGCTCGGCCCAAAGGCGAGATATCGCTCTTCTCTTCGGATGTTGCGTCCTCATCGTCAATTTCACTAGCGCTTTAGCTACGGTTTCACTGACGATCTAACCGCCTACGTTCGGCACGAGAATTCAACGCTTCTTTATTATTTCTTTTTTCTGTTATTTTTATTCTCCCGTCGATTATTTTTTCGCTCGTTTCTGATACTACTTATAGAGCTAAATAGAGAGACTTTCGATTTTCAATAAGCCGTTGAAGAATGCCATCTGAAAATCGCGTCATTGAACTGAAATAAAATTGTTTAGGGAAGCGGACGAATAAGTATAAAATAAAGTATCGAGTTGCTGCGTTTGCGAGCGATGGAATAAAATCAGCGGCTATTAAAAAAAAAGGGCATGCAAAAAAGGCACTAGATTTGCCGAGAGCTCGTCCGATTTCTCGGTAAAATCGAGTTGAACCGGCGTTACGCGGAACCCCCGTCATTAAGGTAGCTAAAAGGCAATCGAAGATATCCGTAATCCGTATAGCTGGCCTATCTCCTATCTGGTCGCGTCGCCTTCCAGTGAAAATCTCCTTCTTCGGGAGAGAGATCGCCTCTCCGCCGAGAGTCGCGGAGTTGCCGAGCTGCTCGAGGTATACCCGAAGTACTGGCGGTGGATTATGCATTATACTCGCGCCGGAATCGGCCCGGTGAGCATCGCAGGCACGGGTATAGGGCGTAGGTAAGTAAGTACCACTAGTACCAGTCGAGTGGAAGCGAGAGTGTCGGGGCACCGGCGTCGGCGAGCAGAGGAAGTGCTTAGCGCCGTTTAGTCGCTCGTCGGATAGCGAAAATTAAGCGCATTCCGTTCTGTACGGTCTGCGAGAGATAGACGAGTACCGGAGTACCGTCGAGCGTGTGTGTGTATGTGTGTGCTCTTCGACGCGTCAACGATTCGTCGACCTTGAACTGCGCGGATTGCCCGCGAATATTTTTTTTTATTTCGAACGATATATTGTATGCACTCGGTTTGGAAAAATATTTGAGGGAAAATTGGCGGTGTTGTGGTCGAAGATTGACTGTTTGATATTTCGATATTGTGGCTCGAAATGACTAATGTTAATAAAATAAGAGTGGTGGTTCTGGGGAGTCCCCGCGTCGGGAAATCAGGTTGGTTTTCATTTCATTTTTATTATTAATATTAATTTCGTGATTTGTATATTTTATTTTAATAAATTTACTTACTTAAATCTTTTTAATACAAATTCTATTACAGCCTATATTTTTTTGTTATTAATTGTCCCAAGATTTATAAAAAAAAATTTGATCTTCAAATTAAAAATATATGAAAACGTGTAATTAATTGTTTAAAAATTTTCGACCTAATTTTACAGATATTTACATTTTTCAGTCATGAATTCGTGCTTGATAAGTCACATTATTATGCTGATATTATTAATAAAGAAAATTGCGCACCCATTGTATATTATACTATACGTGTTGCACTACTTTCCGCGAAATTTCATCGTATAAACTAAGCATATACAGGCTAAAACCACTCCGCCTCGCCGCGCAAAAATACATATAATTTTCATAAACTACGCGAATACCAACATATTTCAATTAAGCCGAATTAAAGGAGCTTCAAACACGCCCCTGGCCGATACGTTATAAATTTCAATTTCGAAGACCAGAAGCCGCTTCAATGTCAAGTCGTAAGGTTATGCAATAAATTACACCTCGGATGAATGGAGTCCACTCGTTATTATGTCAGCTTATTTTTAGATCGGAATTATAAATAACAATAAGATTTTATCGAGTACGGACCGAATCGGCCGCGCGAAATTAATATCGCCGAGACCAGACGAAAAAAATAAAGTACTTGCGAGAAGAAAGGAAGAACCGGTAGCTCGTCTCATTAATACCAACTTTTCGTATTGTTTTGTTGATGAATCTTACTAAATGCTGCATATACCAATCAATAATACATCTACATCTACATACAAATTGGGCGCGTAGAGATAAATTCTCCCTACTTTTATTTTTATTATCTTTGATCGCTTATAATTTATGAAAGACGCAAATAGAAACAATTTGCTAGATATAAACTCGGCAATGATAAAGACATTCAGTGACGGAATAAATCTCGCAACGCGTCCCGTCACGAAACTTAATAGATTTTCGAAATAAAAAAAAACCAGCCCGGCTCTCCTAGACCATGCGATACTTACATTACACGGGCACATTTCCCCGGCGCGTTGCGTGTCGAAAGATGCGAATATCAGATATGGAAAGCATCGACACGAAAATCGCCTGTTTTGGCGATTGTAGATCCCTCAGATTAGTTCATATCAGCTACATGTAGAGGAAACAGGAAGACGAATATCGGCTGGAGTAGGCGCTATAAAATTACCGATCGATGAGAAAACACGACACCTCGCGCAGATAAGTAAATTATTAATTGATATTCCCGGCGGAAAAAAAAGAGCAAGGAAACGATGAAGAAATGTTGGTTGAGTACGAGTTTATGTAGGTACTTTTTCTGCATATTAATAAATTAGTTAATTGGAGAGAAGCGTTGGATGAATTGGAGCTGTTTAAGTTCCAATTGGATCGACTATTTTCTTCCTACCTTTATTAATTTTAGTGAGTAGATACAAAAGAATATTTTTATCCAATAAGTGAAACGTCTCTGTTTCTGTCAGCAATCGGTAGGTATACGATACAAATTCTTGTATTTTCTCTTATATCTTATATTATTTTCTCCCTACCTTTATTAACTTTATCTCTTATCAGCTATATCGGTTCGATACGAAATCTTGTAAAACTAGATAGAAAACTGAAACTAGCCTGCAGAGTATTTTCTCCCTACCTTTATTAACTTTATCTATTAGGTATAAAGGAATATTTTTATCCAATATTTAGTGAAACGTTTTTGCTTCAATCAGCTATCGATTCGATACGAAATCTTATAAAACTAGGGAGAAAAACAAATCTCATTCTGCAGAGTATTTTCTTCCTGCCTTTATTAACTTTATCTATTAGGTATAATGGAACATTTTTATCCAATATTTATTGAAACGTTTGTGCTTCAATCAGCTATCGATTCGATACGAAATCTTGCAAAACTAGGTAGAAAACTGGAACATAGGCTGCAGATTATTTTCTCCCTACCTTTATTAACTTCAGCGAGTGGCTAGGTACAAAGGAATATTTTTATCAATTATTTTGCGAAGCATTTTCGCTTCTATCAGCTATGGGTACGATACGAAATCGGACGAGTGGTACCCATTCCATATATTCCGTCGTCACGCAGCGCTCGCATAGCGGCGATTTTTAACGCGCTCGGTCACGACGCCCGGTTTCGCCGGCACCGCGAACGTAAATCAAAACTAGTTATGGAGAAACGATAATTGCACGGTGCGCGTAAGAGCTCGCCGATTTCGCACTCGGATTTCGGATTAGACGCCTTCGCGCGTACCCCTCGTAAATTTTCCTTTCGACGCGCATCGACCAGTATTGGCGCCTCGTCCGGGGAATTATCTCAATCTCGGAAACCGAAAGGTCTATACTTATATATTTATTTACATGTAGTGTAAAGAATCTCAGTGTAATTTTTTAGAATTACCCGTCTTATTTTATTAGATCATAGTTCCTTGTACATTTCCTTGATCGTATTTCAGTCGTTGCAGGGTCTGGTAATGATCGAGTTCAATTAGTATTTGCGTTGGAAAAAAGCTTCCAAGAAGCGATTACGAACGGTTTTAAGTTACAATGCTTTATCTATTTCGAACATTAGAGGTTCTAACGTTATGTAAATTAACGGAAGAACCGAGTGGGTTCCACTTAAATTGATAGGAATTAATAACGTAAAATAAATGGTTCGTTAGTTATCGCGTTGATATACGAAAAATCCGACTTATATACTTTTAGGTTCTCGTGGGCTCAACTCGAGAAAAACTAAAACAAGTAAGTATGGTATGTTCACGGTAATATGTGATGTCACATGTCCGAGTATAGCGAGTTTTTTTCGTTCACTTCGAGATAAAATAAACTAAGTGGTTTTATTGATTGTAACGCGGGAACTCCAAACCTACTGACTTTGCTGGTTAAAAATGCCGGTAATTTATAGCCGTTTCTTTATTTCTAAAAAAAAAATGACTTCATTATTTTACCGTTTTCCGTGCGTTGTTTCAGACGGGTCGGAAATTTTATGCATCGGCCGTCTAGCCGGCGAATTTTACGGTCGAATCTTTTTATTTCGATCGTTAAACGGTCGATTTCTGAGTGTTTTTAATTTCGTTTAATGGACCTTCTTTGCCTATAGTCGCTGGAAAAAACGGCGAAATTGCGCCAGCGAGTTTATAGTCTTAAGCTTTGTAATCTCCTCGCTAACTGGGCAGTTTATTCGCACTAGAGGCAACCAACTAATCACTTAGAAGCACTAAATCAGACTTTATGTCTTATTGTTTACGAAGAAAAAGTCGCCTACTAGCTTGTCGAAGCGCACTCGTACAACCCGTTAATTGTATATACGAGGGCCGAGCGATAAGCGAACGATGCGGATTTTAATCGATAAAATGCATAATGCAAATGCACGTTTCGTTAGCCCAGATCATTTTCAATTGCAGGTTAGTAGCACACACATACGAGCAAAGCATTGGCGAATTATAGATAGGCGATTCAGCTATGCATATCGAATACCCGATCGGTTTGTCGTTTAATTAAACGCCGGACCGTAAGTACCAGCGACGTACTCGCATCGGTACCGCCGAGATTCTTTTATCTCCCGACATTTTTTTTTTCTTATTTACCCACTTTAGCTGGAATCGGATTTAGCAGGAACAGGTACAAACTCCTTTCATCGCGTATCGAACATATTGTACAGTGCGCTGTAGTGCTGTAGTGGAGGTTTGAAAGTACGCCATTGTGAACGCCTTGGAAAAAGGTATATCTTTCGAAAATATCGCGCTTTTCGTAAATGTGTACACACACGACGTCGCGGCAATTAGTTTGGGTTATAACGGTGTTTAAATCTCCATACATTCTCGCTACTATCTGATATTTCACTGGTTGGAAGAGCACGAAGGACTCCAGAAAAAATATCGAAGAGCTTCATGCAACAATAATTGCATAAGAAATACGCAAGGCGTTCTTTTTTTTCCCATTTATCTATAAGAAATTAGCAGTTTTTTTTCGATTTCTTAATATATTTACCATTGTGGTGTTGGCTTTGTCTAGATTTAGATTCTAGAAGATAGAGTAACGTTTGCTCTCTACCGACCGTATGGTCAAAGGGGCATCTTCGTATAATTCCTCTCACTTTTAATAATTAATAGCTCATTGTATAAGACGCGATAGCCATCTCTGTTGGGTTTTCTTTAATTAATACCCATCGGCAGGGCCGGGTACGTGATCGGTACTACTATAGATATAACTCGCAGGAAACGATCGCGAATTCCCCGCAGAATGTTTATGGAAAAGCCGTCGAACTTAAAACACAATCTTCGAAGATGCTAGAAAATTGTGAATTTGATTTTACTAATCGAAGCATTCCTCCGTGCGCGCACATTGACACGAGAAACGACTTTTTCATCCACTATTAAACGCATCCTCAATATCTCTGACTAAATGTACAATTTGTAAGCGTGGGGGGTCCGCTTCCGAACGAATTTTACAGCCATAATTACCTCCGGTTTTAATATAACTCGTCTAATTATAATTATAGGTGTATTGCTCCCTGGTACGGTGTATTTTCGTATTTTCCCAAGGGTACAATTAACTCAGATTGGAGATGTGTAGCGCTAATAAATTTGAATGATTTACCAATTCAATTGATCATTGCATCACGGTATCCTTTTGTGTTTATAATTGATTATAAATTCTTTATTATACTCTTTAATTTATTTATTAAATTTTGTATGTATACCTACTTAAACCAGTACTGTAACTTTTCCGATATATAAAAAATAAAACGACTCATTTAACATATTGATATCATCATCTGTAGCTGCCTGCCTACTGAAAAATATCGCGAAGAAACAGCTTTGACGCCTCTATGCATACACTGGATACAAATTAGTGACAACAACAGTAAACAAAACCAGTTTACATAATTCATAAAATGCCATTGTGGAGACACATTGATGCATGAGTACTTCCATTATAAA